TCTTTGACTGCTTGAGAATGCCAAGTCAAGTTTAAAACTCAAATCCAAATATTATTTTGAATGTTAGGCTAAAATTGGCTCAGATTTACCCATTTCCCTGCCTTTATTTTTTACTTTGTACCAATTATATATTTAATATACATATATAATAAGCAGCTTCAAATTAATTCATAAATGATACAACATAAGGTTATCCTTGTATAAAGGCATGGATAGCTCTTAGATATATTCAAGTAATATACTAATGTTAGGCATATATGTTATATTGCATAATATGTTGAGTTTTAACCCAAAGGGAATGAAGTCATAAACCTATCACTGATTTAAGATTAAGAAAATATAATGTAAAGGCACACTATTATTTTAAAAAGTCAATCACCACCAAAACAATCTTGCTAGATTTTGTTTCTAAAGACCATTGTTTGACATTCAAATTATTAATAAATACTACTGTAGCACTATAGCACGGTCCTCCCATTGTTCATCGATTTGCTCGAGTGGGCACCAGTAATGTCTCCATTGTGAGACTTGTTACTGTTTTTGTATCAAATATGCCACAAGGAGCTTGCCAGGCTCTGCTGTGCAGGTGGGATATTCTCGGTAGCTTGCTGGGCTTTCTGAGAGGGATGGAGGAATTGAACCTGGGTAGGCCACGTGCAAGGCAAATGCCCTACACACTGTGCTATTGCTTCAGCCCAATAAATACTACATCAACCAAAAAGGAGCAGACATGAGAAAGAGTGGAAAGTGAATTTCTGGATTAACAACTCTTCTCCCAGAAGAGAGTTGGATCAGTTCTGACTTTGGCCAGTTTAGAAACAAAATCTAGGTTTTTTTTGGTAGTTGTTTATCTTCTTTAAATAATGGTCTCTGTTATATTATAGTAAGTATAGAAACAACATAAGAGCTCACAGTCCTAAACCAGGATGACAAAATTAAATTCTTTTAAAATGATTAAGACCATAATATTAAAGTCATAAATAGCACATTCCAAGATCTGTTTTGTTCAGTGGCATAGTGATTTCAACCCTCGACACATTAAAAATGTGTAAAAAATTGTATATTATACACACATCTGAGAGGAATTTCAATGTCCATTAACATACACTAGAAACATTCTGGATCCATTAGGACGTCGGAGGGCAGTCATGTTGGTCTTGTAGTTGGCAAAGGACAGGCGGGCGTTACGAATAATTTTCCCGGCTTCTGCCGCATCTACCAGCACTTCTGCTCTTTTCTCTTTGAGGTCTTCTTTGATTGCATCTCTGCACTGCTTTGGGAGCTCGGACATTAGCTTGCGGTTGCCTGAGGCATGCGCCAAACCACGCTGGTGAATAAGCTCAAGAGTTTTCGAAGACAGGCGTTTTTTTGTGGCTATCTCTCGCTCGGCGTTCCTCACACATTCATGGAGGTGCTGTACCACTCGATCATATTCCTCATCAATGTTGTCAACAATGGCATCTTCCCATGTTGCCGCAATAGTGCCAAAGAGCTCCCAGTTGGTGGTCGTTCTGGGAGTTCTCTTTTTAAACTTTGCAGCCCTTTCTCCCCGCTCTGTGAAGTAGAATTTTGCACGAAGGAGACGGTGGTCCGATCCTGTTCGGAATTTTGGGAGAACAGTGACATCAGTCAGGCAAAACCGTCGATTGAATATGATGTGGTCAATTTCGTTGTGGAATCGTCCACCGGGACACTCCCATGTCCAACATTTAGATTCTGCCTTCTGGAACTGTGAGTTACCATGGATGGTCTTGGTCGACATGATGAACTCAGACATCACATCCTCCAGAACGGCAATGGAGAAGATTATCCATGACTTCTACTCAAATCTCCTCGATAGCCATGTCCTCTTGCCAACATACCAAATTCCACAGGATGGATATGTTGTTCCCAACATTCTCCCTTACGAAATCCGACATGCCATTTCGTTGGTAAAGAAACGAACAGCAACCGGCCCAGACAAGGTCAGACCTGAACACCTGAAGAACCTGCCATCAGTACTCATCAATACACTGGCTCGACGCTTCACACGCTACCTGTCTGAATGCAAGGTTACATCCCAATGGAAAACCAGCAGGACCGTACTACTGTTCAAGAAGGGAGACATCCATGACATTGGCAACTATCGCCCGATCTGCCTATTGTCTGTCATCTACAAGTTGTTCACTCAAGTCATCCTAAATAGGATTGGCAGAACACTAGATGAAGGACAACCCTGAGAGCAAGCCGGGTTCCGCAAAGGATTCAGCACCATTGACCTTATCCACACGATAACCAAGCTCATTGAGGTTTCTCAGGAGTTCAAGATGCTGCTCTGTTTAACGTTCATTGATTTAAAGAAGGCCTTTGATTCTGTTGAGACGGAAGCGGTCATTGAAGCCCAAGCCAATCAGGCCATTCAATCCCAATACATCAGGATCCTCTGTGAGCTGTATTGTGGATTCACTACCAGGATCTCACCATTCTACAAAGAAGTAATCATTGATGTCAAGAGAGGGGTTCGGCACGGTGATACCATTTCACCGAAACTCTTCAGTGCCACCCTCGAGAACATCATGCGACGACTGGAATGGGAAGGAATGGGAGTGAAGATAGATGGTCGGCAACTACACCGCCTCTGCTTTGCTGATGACATTGTTTTAATAACACCAAACATCAGCCAAGTGGCACAAATGCTGGCCGACTTTGATCGTAAGTATGGAAAGGTAGGACTACAGCTGAATCTTACGAAGACAATGTTTATGAGAAACAGCTTCGTTCCTGATGCCCCATTCGCTCTCAACAAAACGACCATCTCCGAATGCAACAGCTATGTGTACCTAGGTCAAGAAGTCAACATGACAAATGACCTTGCACCCGAGCTGCGCAGGAGGAAGAGAGCGGCTTGGAACGCCTTCAAGAACGTGGAAGAAATAACTAAGAGGATGAAGAACCTCCAGCTCCGAGCACATCTCTTTGATTCCACTGTTCTTCCTGCATTAACATATGCCTCAGAGACCTGGGCCCTACGCAAACAGGATGAGAACGCTATTCAGGTCTCCCAAAGAAGAATTGAAAAAGCTATGCTTGGAATATCACGTTTCACTCAAATGAGAGAAAAAATCCGGAGTTCCGACATCCGTCGACGATCAAGAATCAGGGACGCTGTCTCATTTGCCAAGGTGTCAAAAATCAGATGGGCTGGTCACGTAATGAGATTTAGAGACGACCGCTGGACTAGAGTTGTTACTGACTGGATTCCACGGATTGTCAAAAGACCGTGTGGCCGCCCACCTATCAGATGGTCAGACTTCTTCATCAAGATCATGAACGATCTGTTTGAGGCTCTTTATGTTCCCAGAGCGAACAGATGCCATTGGGCTACACTAGCACGTGACAGGGACAAATGGAGACGTTACTGGCACCCACTTGAGCAAATCGATGACTAACTGGAAGTTAAGTGATTAAGTGAAGAAACATTCTGCTAACATGAGAAGATTTGAGAGAATTTCTGTATAATTTTCTGCAATCTCTACTTAGAAACTAATGGAATCAAATAGTTAAATATCTAATGTTAAATATCGAATCTATTAATTCTGATGCAAAACAACAAAAGTTGATGGACAGTATAAAAGTTACAGGAAGTTTGTAAAGCTTCATATAATATGAAAAAGGCATGAAATGCTAGAAACATATGTACTGCAAATATTGAGAACACATTTAAAGTGAAAATCTGATAAAAGTTTTAAACAGGTCTCTTTCTCTTTTCTTGCTTGCATACTGTTTCAAGCTTGTGTTCTCTTTTGAACATTTTCCTTTCCTTTTCCCCCACTCAAATCTAAGTAAGCTTCATTCAATAAAAATTATTCTGCTTCCATCCCGGGGTCCACCATGTTCCAGAGGTCTATGGGCAGCCAGGTAGGGGCCCACAGTGAGGAGACACTTGGGGCCTATTGGGATGGGGGCAGGGCCAGCCCTTTCCTTTCCCGCCCCAAGGAGACCCAACTTGCCACCCACAAACGGGCCCTCTAGCTACTCAACAAGCTGCTTCAGCCATGAACCCAGAGACTCAGAAACAAATCTCGGAAACCAGTGGCTTTTGGCAAAAGTCTCTCTAGATTTAATTATTAACATTTCAGAATTCCAAAATCACATGCAATTCATTATCAGTAATAGAAAACAAATTGTCTAATGTTGCCTTTTCAGCAGTTGTGAGTGTTGGGATAAAATCACAAATAATAATGGTGGGTCAGGTGTCAAAATATTGAAAGTAATCAAAGTAGAGAGAGAGATTAATGTGGAAACCATCTGCCATACGGGTAGGGGGAGGGTGTAGGCTGGGGGGTATACTGGGGTTTTCGGTGGTGGTAAATGTGCACTGGTGAAGGGATGGATGTTTCATCATTGTATTACCAAGACTTAAGCCCAAAAGCTTTGTAACTGCTCTCATGGTGATTCAATAAATGAATTTATAAGAAAGAAAGAAAGAAAGAAAGAAAGAAAGAAAGAAAGAAAGAAAGAAGACAAGAAAAGAAAAGAAAAGAAAAGAAAGACAGACACACATAGAAATAGAAGACATGAAGGGGAAACAAATTGAATGAAATAAACATCAATTTAAAACCAAAAATAATTATTCTGCTTCACTATTTTTTTAAATGGAGAGACCATTTATTTTTAGGTTGGGCTTTGGTTCTATTTTCACCCTTTATTGTGAATACAGGGCATTACATATTTGATTATTAAATGAGAAAACATGGTGACACAGTAACCATATAACAAGCATGACCTGAATTAGGTGAGTAAGTGGTTTTCCAGCTGCAGGGAATAGAAGACAGAGTAGGTAAAACATTTTCTCCAAAGGAGAAGAGAACCACATTACTCAGCCACCAGAGTGTTTTGGTTTCACCTCATAATGTCTGATAGGAATGCCAGTCCTGGTCAGCTATCCATGATCTTCATGTAGCAAATCAGAATTTCCGTTTTTTTTCAAACTCATTGTAGGTAAGAGTAACTCCAGAAGTTGATGTGAATGACTAAAGTGTCCTCCATCCATGAGTTGGCAAAATCTTCAGAGAGATTGCTGGAGCAAGGAACCTTTCATGTGCTCCCAGTTATTATATAGTGCATGGAGGCTGGTAAGTGTTAGTCCTGCTAGATCACCCCGTGCCGCCCCTCGAAGTCCACCAGTAGATTTATATAACATGTCTGTCATGGTTCCAGCTGCTACTGTGTTGAGATCACATTCTGCACCTCTTATTATCTCAATGACGACACCAAATGTGCTATAGAACAAAGCCAGATAGCCTAGAGTATTAGCCCAAAGAGCCCCTTGCCTAGTCACCATATTCAAAATCTGGACATTTCTTGATTTGGACCAGGGCATATTCTAGGTTTCCTTCTATCCATAGGCCATTGATTGCCCCAAATGCAGCCCCCATCATACAACATGCTCCAATAGTAAAAAAGGCTAGCTCAAATCTTCCCCTGATCTTATTAGCTCCAGTTGGTAAAATAAACTCATCTGTATGCAGTAGGAGATATCTTGGATCCACATTTAAATATGGAGACAAGGGGTTCATAGCATTTAGCAGGACGCCAGCCAGATCTGCGTGTGAATATCCTGCTCCGCCAACTTCGAAAAAGCCGGCTAACCCCCCTAGAGGTTTTGTTGCTACTTTCTCCCGCCGCCCTCCATGGTGATGCCAGCAACTGTCCGCCTGCTCCTCATCGCCAGGGTGGTCGGCTCAGTCCTTGCCCCGGAGTAACCAGCGGGAACCCCTGTGTTGCTTCACTAATTTTTTAAAATATGGATAGGCATTGGATATAAGAATATAGACTCAGTGATTATATATATAAATATATGCGAACTTTTTTTGGTCGAGGGTCATGCCTCAAAGCACTCAGGGCTTACTCCTCTCTCTGTGCTCAAGGATCACACCTGGTAAGCATTAGGGAGTAAATGGTGTGTCTGGGATCGAACCCATGTTGACTGTGTGCAAGGCACACACCTTACCATCTATACTATCTCTCTGGCCCTATATGTGCAAAGCAATAGAAATATTAAATAATACAATAATACTAAATAAGTATTATCATAAATATCTATGTAAAACACCATAGAGGATTTGGTTGTTTGTATTTTTCTTGTAAAGTTCTACTAGCGTTTTATATATCTTGGATATCTGCCCTTTTTCAACTAGAGTGGTGGGCAGATATTCTTACAATGATCAAAATCTGGAAACAACTCAAGTGGCCAAGAATAGATGACTGAATAAATAAACTATGATAGATACACATAATGAACTGCTACTCAATTGTCAGATGAAATCATGCAATTTGCTGCTGCATAGATGGATCTGAAGGGTATCTTACTGGGTGTAGTTAGCAAGAAGGAGAGGAACAGAAACAAAATGCTATTTTTCATATGTGGGATATAAAGAAACATAGTTTTGGGAAACATAGCATTTTGGAATAACAAATGCCCAAAGTCATCAGAAACAGAACTGCTTTTCAATAGCAAGCTTATCATAGATGGGGATGGCAGCGGAAGGGGTACAAGACACTGGAACAACAGTGGAAAGAAGATACTGGTGGAGGTTGTGGTACTCTAATAGTTTTGCATGAAAACACTATACTAAAGTTTTGTAAAACATGTTGCCCTTTAAAATATTTTCAACTAATTGCTACCTACATATTTAATGTTTAATATTATAAAGCTTCTCTCATTGACTTAAAAAAAAGTCCTAGAAAGTAGTAGCAAGATAGTTATAGTGGGTAAAGGTATTGCCTTGCAAGTGGCTGACCCAGGTTCAATTCCCTCGCACCCCTTAAGTTCTTTCAAGCACTGCTTAGAGTGATTCCAGAGGTCAGAGCCAAGAGTAAGCCTGAGCACTGTTGGTTGTGTTCCAAGCCCCAAAAACCTCATAGAAAAATATGTATAAATTAACTTACTATAATTTCTAATAACTAAAAGTTTAATAAACCTAATAGGCACTAGGGGAAATGAATTAAGATAAATATAAATGACTATGGGCTGAATACATTGTTAAAATAACCATCCCAGGTATTAAATGTAAAGCATACATTGATGAGGCAATTTGAAAGGTGTGACAGAAAAAAGACAAACTTCTGTGTCAAGGAAATAAACAAGGGAAGCATTAGCTCAAATATTTTAAGAAAGCAGTTAAATTACATATGAGAGCCGATATAATGAGTCATTAATCTGTATTTGATTTACCTATTGTCACACAGTGAAAGCAATTATCAGTTTCTACACACTAAAATAAAATTAAGCTAAAGAGCTAAGTTATAAAAAGAGCAGCCATCCCCTTATCTTAAGTCCAGAGGTCTAGGTCTTTATTAATTAAATCTGAGGGTACAGAACTACCAAATACCACTCTAAATTCATCGGTGGCAATCTCAATGAAATAATAACTCTTTTATAGAGAATAGCACTGTAGCAATGTCCTCCCGTTGTCCATTGATTTGCTCGAGCAGGCACCAGTAATGTCTCCATTGTAAGATTTGTTGTTACTGTTTTTGGCATACCGAATACACCACAGGGAGCTTGACAGGCTGGATTCTCTCAGTAGCTTCCCAGGCTCTCCGAGAGGGATGAAGGAATCCAACCAGGGTCGGCTGCGTGCAAGGCGAACACCCTACCTGCTGTGCTATCGCTCCAGCCCTTCATAGAGAATACTTTCAAAAAAGAAAAAACAAATTCTAAAATAGAAAAGTTTTCTAAAGTTTCTTTTTAAAAAGGGATAGAAAAATTGGGCTTTACATGCAATATTTGGAAGAAATGTTTTGAGTGAAATTTTAAAGGGCACAATTGATTCACAAAGAACAAATCAAGAGAAATTGGCTTACTTTTTGTTTTGATATGGATATAGACAAGTGAATCAAAGGGAATCCACAATATATTTTCTACTACTTTTAAAAAGGATTGTATTTTGCAACAAAGAAATTCTATTTTAAAGTATTTTTATGGTAATCTTCAATAACATTTATGTACCGAATATTTTTTTCAGTCATTTACTGATCAGAAAAAGAAGCGCAAGACAGGAAAATAATCAATCACATACTCTTACATCAAACTGCTCTTGACAATCCTTCCTTCGTGAGTCTGAGCTTTGCTATCTAACCCCCACTTCTCAACTTCTTTTAGCTATACAGGATTCTAAGCATGACCAATGGCATTATTTTCTTTTTCAAATATCAACTTCATATTTAGTACTTAATCTTTACAAACACAACAAAATTTGTCAAATATCCAATATATGAGGAAAAATAGATTAGAAAAGTTACAAAATATGGCCAGAGTTACTCATTAATAACATTTTAGTATATTTCTTTATATCATGTTGCTTCTGCAAATCTGAAGCTCAAGGGAAGTTTAACTAGCATAGTTTTATTACTACTGAGACCAAATGTATGTAACATATTTGCATTACAGTAAAAATATCATTTTCCAAAAATTTTACAGAAAATTAATTTTAATAACTGTAATAAAAATAACTGAAATTTTGTATTTCCTTAGATTCCTAAAACATTAAAATGTTCCTATAGTCTTGCACATCATGTTCAAACACTTTATATTCACATTTTTTATTTTATTATTTTTTATAATGTAGGAGTACTGCTTTATATTCACATTTAAGATAACAAATTTATTTTTTCTCAATGCTACTATTCTGCACTGAAACATATGTAAACGATTTTTCCTGTGACAATGAAGAGCTTCTATATTTTTCAATAAAAGCTTATAGCAGCGTACATAAGAAGCACTTAGGACGAAGCTGTGGGTATCCCTGAGATTCTTTTCTTATTTTTTATCATCCTCTTTATATTACAGTAGTTTCTAAGCCTGTCAGTGATTTGGGATTGAGAGTTGAGTCCTAGAAATAGAACTATCTTTCATATAAACTTATCATTAGTTCAAGGGAAATTCAATGAGGTAACTTCTTTCTTAGCATAATGTGCAAGGTGCCTACTAAAGTACTAAATGTCTAGTATTATAAACAGGAATTTTAGGTCTCAACCCTTTGCTGGTTCTGAGACAGTAACTTAACATATGTTCAGATGCCAGAATTAGTGTGGCAAAAATTCAAGAGGCAGTCCCCCATATGGAAAAGAAACACAGATTTGGAGTTAGAAAAGCATGTGTTTGAAATTTGTTCAGTAATTTGGGACAGAGTATATTTATTTGTAAAGTTAAGTAAGTTGATGAATGATGCTTGGTTCACAAAGACTTTGAATACATCAAATATAAAAAAAAATAGTGCCTAGAATACAATAGAAAGGGACTTAGCACCTGCTACTTTTCTTCTTTCCTATTTCTTCCAAATCAGACATCTACAGGCCTGTCTCTTCCTTTGATAGAATTTCAAGCAAAATCCAAGAAAATCAAATTAAAAATATAGCTGGAAAGGGTAAACTGAAAGTAATAAGGACGGGGGATGTTACTCCATGGTAAGGAACATACATTCCTTGGTACTGTGGGACCTAGATTCAAAAAGGGATTGAAATTGTGAGGAAAATTCTGATTTATGTAATCAGAACCAATATTTAACTTTTAGAGTGAGTCAAGTAATATATCAAGTAATTTAAACATGCATCTCATTTAATCTTTCAAAATCCTAAATTAATATGATGGTTAAGTTTATTTCTATATTTGTTTGAGCCACTAGTAGTGCAATCTAACTAGTACTATCTAACTAGTAGTGCAAAATAGTACCTAATTACTAGGTTAAACATTCTGGGTATGTCTGGGAGGGTATTTGTGGATAAGATTTACATTTAAATCAATATACTGATTAAAGAATAATTATTTCCTTATTGTAATGAGATTCCAGCACAATCAACTAAAAATCTGAATGGAACAAAAAGATTACACAAAAGGGAACATGCTATGCCTATAATCTGTCATCCTGACCTCTATTTTTTTTTCAAAAAAAATAAAACAGAGATTTTTCTTGGATCTTGAGTCCATTGGCTTTGGGAAATTTATTTTCACCACTAGCTTTTATAGTTCATACATCTTTGGAATTGCATTGAAGCTGTTTTCATTGACTTTCTGGTTATCCAGTTTACCAACTACATATGTTTTCTCAGTCTCCATAATCTCACAATCCAATTTTTTATAATAAATCTCTCCCTTTGCTTCTAAGCATACACATGCACTCTCAAAGGAAATGGCCTAATATAGTAGTTAACTACTGTTACAAACTCAATATTTAGACATAGTCTTAAAGATATTATGGATCACAGATCCAGTAAGTGGCAGAGCTGAAAATTAACATCTATTCATATCCAAAGTTCATGTTAACAATATCTACTCACCAGCTAATACAACCCATGTGTAGCTCACTGTGTTAATGCAAACATGGATTTTCCCATTTTTGTGGGTTCTGGAGTATTGTATGAAATATTTGCAAGACAAAATTCAGAAGGTTAAGAAGTTAATATATTGTATGGTTTGTGTAGCTAGATCCTGGTCCCTCTCCAATGTCCAGGCTTCTTTTTTTACTAATGCATGACATTGTTTGTCCTGTTCCTTGGTGCCCAGTCCAGTGAACAGCTTCCTAAATCCTGTGCCGCATGATCTGCTTGCCAACAGTATGTGACAGTCTGGTCTTTACAGTGTATGCTTTCCTAGTCTGAAATCTTGTCTCTCAAACTGTATCCCTG